GTTATGCATCCAAACTTGGTAGTTCTTAGTTTGCAGACACAATATGGTCAATAGACATGCTCTCTCTGATACATAGTGACACACACTTAAAACTTCCCTGTGAAATCAGAGGTAGATCTCCCCTGTAGCTGCTTGATTAAAGATGAAATAGTCCCTGCCTTAATCTTTGGATCATACTTTCCACAACATTAGTAACCAATCAAAATCAGCCAATTTAAAATTACTGGACCAGACAGATATTCCTTGCGACAGTATCAAGCAGAGGTATAGATGGATCATTCAGTAAGTACTAGCACATAGTTCAAAACAGATGCATAAATATCTTGTCCATAGTCTCGAGATGGTGAGGTTGGATCGATGGCTGCTCTGAGCAGTGACATATCCTGCTCTGTCGGCGTGCACTCCACTGGTGGGACCACAATTCCCTGGCCATGCTCCTCCGGGAGGCAGGCATCATCCCTGTCCAAGTTGTTCAAATCCTAAACATGGAAAATCATGTTAATTTACAAACAACCACCTAATTACATTTTCAGAGCGGCTCCTTTAAATCTATACCTCTACATTGCCAGGGAAGGTGACAGGATTCTGTGCTTGCCCCATTTCCCATAGCTGGTTGGGGGTCAGATTTTGCTCAGTGCACAGGGAATGGTTATACCATCCATTGGTAAAGGTGTCTAGGTCTGCTTGGAGGCGCGGGAGGAATACATAGTGCGCACAGAATAGATGAAGGCTGTTTGACAGGTCAAGGGAGCCCTCAGCTTCCAAACTGTAGGACATTGTAAAAGATGTGTGACACTGCCATCCACACATCCCACCATAACTGTTCAATCCAGAAAGCATATGAGATAGAACATTTGAAGCAACATAATGAAACATTCAACATCATACCCAGTCCTCTGTCCTACACAACTCATTACTATTATTTTAACCTTTCTGATGTAACCGGTGTGAATGGCTTGCTAGTTAGCGGTGGGCACTAGTAGCGTTTCAATCGGTGACGTCACTCGCTCTGAGACCTTGAAGTAGTTGTTTCCCTTGCTCTGCAAGGGCCGCAGCTTTTGTGGAGCGACGGGTAACGGTGCTTCGAGGGTGACTGTGACGGCTGTGTTCAAGGAGGGTCCTGGTCAAGGGTAGGAGATGGTGACCTGATCCAAACACTTTAATACTGAGAGAAGGGAATTGAATTGGATTCAAAGTAGTTTCTAATGGCAACATATTTCATGCATACCTATGCTGAAAAACATTTTCTTTAAACATGTGAGAGATTACCTACATTGGAAGTACAAACTCAGGCATACATAGTGGACACAAATCTTTCATGTGAAACCTAAAGTTGTCATAAGAAATATTAATGCAATGTTGCCCACATGTGGCTTTCTGCCTCACCAACACTTGCGGATACAAAAGTCACTGCCGATGCTAGTCTGTCACAATCATCACATGTTGAATTATTATACAAGATGAGAATTTTTCTTAAAACGGAGCTTAAATAGTCAAATGTACAGAATATGACCCTAAATATTTATTGGAAAGGAGCATCAAGATCACTGTGCACTTTCACCACCCTGTGAAGTTCATAATTTATTTAATCTGTAGCCTAATAAACTGCATGGTTTCCCGAGGCATAGTGGGAGGACCACTCAACATACTGTATCATCGCGTGACTAAATTTACTTCGATATGATGGTTATTATATCAATATTTGCGCATAAAGGCATTTCCACCACCATTTCTCGCATAATTGATTTTACAGTCAAAAAGATCGCACAATGTCCAACGAACAAATGATCTGTCGGCATTTATCAAATTGTACCAAAACTTCCTGTTTCCATCACAGCTGTCATTATTTTATTTTTTATTTACATTTTTGTCATTTAGCAGACGCTCTTATCCAGAGCGACTTACAGTTAGTTAGTGCATACATTTTTATTTTTCATACTGGGCCCCCCGTGGGAATCGAACCCACAACCCTGGCATTGCAAACGCCATGCTCTACCAACTGAGCTACATCCCTGCCGGCCATTCCCTCCCCTACCCTGGACGACGGTGGGCCAATTGTGCGCCGCCCCATGGGTCTCCCGGTCGCGGCCGGCTACGACAGAGCCTGGATTCGAACCAGGATCTCTAGTGGCACAGCTAGCACTGCGATGCAGTGCCTTTTATATGGTATGACTTTACTTTCCTAAAAACTGTGAATGGAAACTTAGTCTACAAGGCACTCCTTGTTTGAATAAGGCACTCCTTTGCAAAACATTTAAATACCAGTTATGCATGAAACAGCACAGCTTGTTTTCTCTACCCAGTGCAGGGATTATAATGTAGGTGTAGGCCACCTGCCCGAAAGTATAGTACCGGTCAAATTTGAATAACATGTGGTCATAATCTAAGTATTCAGCATACACACAAATAGTGGTGGAAATTACTGTTGGTTGTTTTTACCAGAGATAAAGCTTCCCCTGCCACAACCACAGACATGAAACATGCATCTTGCGATGTCCACGTTCTCCATGCCTTGGTCTGCTCTCACCATAGATGTTGACATACAGACAGACACAGACACTAGGATTATAATCAAGACAACTGTTCATCATAATTCAAGGTGTAATTCCATCACTTACCCCATAATGACAAAGCAAAAACAGGTTTTTAAATTTTTTTGCAAATTTGTTAAAAATAAAAATGGAAATATCACATTTACATAAGTAGTCAGACCCTTTACTCAGTACTTTGTTGAAGCACCTTTGGCAGCGATTACAGCTTCTAGTCTTCTTGGGTATGACGCTACAAGCTTGGCACACCTGTATTTGTGGAGTTTCTCCCATTCTTCTCTGCAGATCCTCTCAAACTCTGTCAGGGGAGCGTCGCTGCACAGCTATTTTCAGGTCTCTCCAGAGATGTTTCGATTGGGTTCAAGTCCGTGCTCTGGCTGGGCCACTCAAGGACATTCAGAGACTTGTCCCGAAGCCACTTCTGTGTTGTCTTGGCTGTGTGCTTAGGGTCGTTGTCCTGTTGGAAGGTGAACTTTCGCCCCAGTCTGAGATCCTGAGCGCTCTGGAGCAGGTTTTCATCAAGGAGCTCTCTGTACTTTGCTCCTTTCATCTTTCCCTTGATCCTGACTAGTCTCCCAGTCCCTGCCGCTGAACAACATCCCCACAGCATGATGCTGCCACCACCATGCTTCACCCTAGGGATGGTGCCAGGTTTCCTCCAAGCGTGACGATTGGCATTCAAGCTAAAGAGTTCAATCTTGGTTTCATCAGACCAGAAAATCTTGTTTCTCATGGCCTGAGAGTCCTTTAGGTGCCTTTTGGCAAACTCCAAGCGGGCTGTCATGTGCCTTTTACTGAGGAGTGGCTTCCGTCTGGCCACTCTACTATAAAGGCCTGCTTGGTGGAGTGCTGCAGAGATGGTTGTCCTTCTGGAAGGTTCTCCCATCTCCACAGAGGAACTCTGGAGCTCTGTCAGTGACCATCGGGTTCTTGGTCACCTCCCTGACCAAGGCCCTTCTCCCCCGATTGGTCAGTTTGGCCGGGCAGCCAGCTCTAGGAAGAGTCTTGGTGGTTCCAAACTTCCATTTAAGAATGATGGAGGCCACTGTGTTGTTGGGGACCTTCAATGCTGCAGAAATGTTTTGGTACCCTTACCCCAGATCTGTGCCTCGACATAATCTTGTCTCGGAGCTCTATGGACAGATCCTTCAACCTCATGGCTTGGTTTTTGCTGTGACATGCACTGTCAACTGTGGGACCTTATATAGACAGGTGTGTGCCTTTCCAAATCATGTCCAATCAATTGAATTTACCAAAGGTGGACTCCAATCAAGTTGTAGAAACATCTCAAGGATTATCAATGGAAACAGGATGAACCTGAGCTCAATTTTGAGTCTCATAGCAAAGGGTCTGAATACTTACGTAAATAAGGTATCTGTTTTTTATTTTTCATTAAAAATATTTTTTTTTCTAAAGACCTGTTTTCACTGTCATTATGGGGTATTGTGTGTAGATTGATTAGGATTTTTTTTGTAATTTAATCAATTTTAGAATAAAGCTGTAAAAAACAAAATGTGGAAAAAGACAAGGGTTCGGAATACTTTCCGAATACACTGTATATGACTAAATGTCTACCCCCGAGCTGAAGGGGGCTCTAAGCTTACCTGATCAACTTGTAGTTGGTGTCCACATGTATGAGGGAAAGAGGACCCCGAACAGAGTATGTTCTTCTGACAACACATCCAAGTTGTGCTATTCTTTCCTGAATTCCTGCAGCATTGACAAGATGCATTGAGTCCCACACTCAGGTCCACTGGACTCGATGACCCAGTTCTTTCAGACGACCTCTCACCATCCTAATTGTGGTGAACTTGTCTTGATTGTGGACACCAGACCATCCAGCTCCTCATCTGTCATTTGGCTGTATGTTCCTCTCACCGCATTCCTGCATTCTGCGTTGGACAGTTTGTGTTGAGATGACAAGCAGTTTGGCGATGCAAGGTACAGGCAGATCCATTTCAATCAGCTGTCGATGGTGCTGTTCTGACAATCAGTTTAGGACGTCCCATTTCACCATCCAACTCAAAAACTATCGATGGGGCACATCTTTCTTCCATTTCAGCATTGACTAGGCTACACAGGTTGGAGAGACCCTGCAGTACCTCTTGAGGAAAGCCTACTTGATTTGCTAATGAGCTGATAAATATAATATCGCTTAAAATTATTTGCTTGCAAGTTTTGGGGTTTTGCTTATGATGTCATTCTTTTGTTTACAATTCTATACATTTTGCTTTCAATTGTTTGTCTCGGCACCATCGCTGTCCATATCAGCCTTTTTGCCTCGTCCCCCTCCACCCCCGCATGGGCTGGGACTAAACTACCAGGTCAAACTAAGGCGTTGTAACGTAGACACGGTATGGGCCCTGCTATCAAGAATCCCTGGGACTTCACTACGCCGTTGAAATAAAAAATGGGTTGGGTTTAGGGTAGGGACGTCCCACGGACCCAGATAGCACAAACCCTACTGTATGATTTGACAGTGTATGACTGGACTGCGGACGAATCAAAACGCGCATTGTTGTTAGTAGCGGGTTGCGTAATTATGTCAGTATATTCTCTACGGGGACACTTGGCACAGGCGGTTGGGTCATTTGTGGGCTAGCCGAAAACGTGTTTTTCCTTTATCGTGCCATCTGTTTTTACTGCGGGTCAGACTGGACAGCCTTATCGCCATTCTATTATTCCACCAGTGCCACGAATAAGAAAACGCCGTAAATCAATCCCTCTCCCAGTCGCGTCCAGTCGGCGAGAAACGTCCACCCACTTCACCGCAGTGCCAGACAAGGAGCCTCTCAATGATGTCATCATATTATCATTCGGGAAAGGAAACAGACATGGCGACGATGACGGAGCCGCTCTGCCTAGAAAGAGGTAACTACACAGAATAGCCTTTGTCAATAGTACAACCCGGGCGGTACATCGTACCACAATCAGACGCATATTGAGATAAACGCACTGGTGTTTTATAGGACATTTGTTGTGGGTGTATTTAGATGGAGTCCTATTACGAACATTGCGGATTAGAGTCCGGTCGAAGCGTAGGCTATAGTTGACGTTTGTATATAGGCTTAGCCTAACATAACGTTGGTGTATGTACTTTATTATTTGCATTATCAGTGTACATAGTAGATGCATAGCATAGCCCTATCACAACCACGCTGATGACACCTGGAGTTGTATTGCCCAATAGTGCACATTTTTAAATCACTCCTTTTAATGGCCAAAATGGGAGTGGGGGCTCTGGTTGATTTGAGATGGTGTGTCATAGAACCCCCTAGTTCGGTCGATTCATGGGGGATTCCCATTGAAATATTTTATTGAATAATGGTGCCACAAAGTATTACATTGTAGCTACATCATTCACCTGATCTGTTGATAATACATCTGTTTAATAACCACTGTTAAAATGAAACAACATTTTTACAGTGACACTATGAGTAACGTTAGTGTTCATTTAAGGGCTACAATATGTATTCCAGTGCTCTAATGCTCTAATATATAGACACTGTAATATATTCCCAAAAGTGTTAATTGTTTCAATGTTTAGTCATGAGACATATTGAGGAGCATATCACAGTGTGCAGATTCCTCTCCTTTGTGGCCATTCATACAGTACATGCACAAAGCCATTGGAAGTAGGGGTATGTAGAGCTACTGGGTATGCAGGCTTTTGCTCCAACCGTGATCAGGACTGATTAGCCATCGACCGTCGCACAGACCTTCTTAGGGGGGCATAGAAATGCCGGAGGCGGGCACATTATATAGCCACGTACATATTTTATAAATTCCTCAAGCGGCGGGCTTTTTGGGGGCGGTGAGCCATAGGGTTGAGCCAGATCAGGTGTGTCAGAGCAGGGCTGAAGCGAAAGCCTGGACACCCAGTAGCTCTCCAGGGAAGGGGTAGTCTACCCTTTTTCAACTCACCTTCTCCTCCCTCCTCCTCGTTCCTCTCTAGATGTGTGCAGGGTGATAGAGCTGCTGGACCGGCTGCAGAGAAGCGGTGAGCTGCCTCCTCCCAAACTCCAGGCCTTGCAGAGAGTCCTGCAGAGCAAGTTCTGTGCTGCCATCAGAGAGGTAGATATTAGGCTGCCTTACCCACTATGTCTGATCTAGATACTATTAGGATTATCCATCAGCGGTAGGACATGCTACCTAAACCTACCATGTCTGATCTAGATACTATAGGCTTTATCCATCAGCAGTAGGACAGGCTAACTAAACCTACCATGTCTGATCTAGATACTATAGGCTTTATCCATCAGCGGTAGGACAGGCTACCTAAACCTACCATGTCTGATCTAGATACTATAGGCTTTATCCATCAGCGGTAGGACAGGCTACCTAAACCTACCATGTCTGATCTAGATACTATAGGCTTTATCCATCAGCGGTAGGACAGGCTACCTAAACCTACCATGTCTGATCTAGGCTTATCATCAGGTGGACAGTACCTAATACATGTTGATCTAGACTTAGGCTTTATTCATAGTGTAGAGGATAAACCTACCATCGTCTAGCTTTATCTATATTGTTCCATGGTTTTTATAGAGTGTATATACATGCATACTTGGTACTGACAAAAAAAAGTTATATCATGATGGCGGGCGGCAGGTAGCTTAGTGGTTAAGAGCGTTGTACCAGTAACCGAAAGGTCGCTGGTTCTAATCCCCAAGCCGACTAGGTGAAAAATCTGTCGATGTGCCCTTGAGCAAGGCACTTAACCCTAATTGCTCCTGTAAGTCGCTCTGGATAAGAGCGTCTGCTAAATGACCAATTTATTTATTTTTTATATTAGCTATACATATAACTGTATACGTATTTACATTAAAAGGTTTCATATTTACAGTGGTTACAACTAGGGCTGTTGCGGTGACCGTATTACCGCCACACCGGCAGTCATGAGTCATGACCGCAGTAAAATTCCACGTGACCGTTGAATCACAGTAATCTCCTCATATGCACCCTGGACATGCTTTGGTAGTTCCCAACTTGCTAACTACCATCTGGTCCTAATGGCCTTGTATTCAGGGCTCTATTGTCCCTCTAACCCAGCGTTTCCCAAACTCGATCCTTGGGACCCCAAGGGGTGCACGTTTAGGATTTGGCCCTAACACTACACAGCTGATTCAAATGATCAAAGTTTGATGATTTTATTCAGCTAAATTCAAATATATTATTTTTACTATAAAATCATATAATATAAAATAATGGCAGGGACTTATAAGCATATCTTGTCTGCTAAATTAACAAGCCTACAGCCTATGGCATGGAGCATAGCCAGATAACATACAGTAGGCCAGATAATATTCTGTTCTTCGGAAATACATTTTCTTCATATCATAATGTTTCTTTAGACCTGACTAAAATGAATAATGGATTTATTGTGACGGTGTATATAAATGGATTTATTAGACTTTTTTGAAAATGTAGATGTTCGAAAGGCGTGCATCAGCGGCTTGTATGCAGCTTGTATGCATGGAGGCCTGGAGATGCTAAGTGTGTTTATGTTAATTGCCAGTTAATTACTGTGAGATCGGCAGACTTTTGCATGACAATAACCAGCTGACAAAATGTAATGACCGCCAAAGCCCTAGTTACAACATGCATGTTAGATCATTCTTAGGTACCATACCACCTATTAAAAGTCTATATTCAAAGTTTATATTTGAAAACCCTTACCCTGCACCCTATATTCAATACTGTAACATTGACATACCCTGTGTATCACACAAGTTATACTCTTTGCTGCATCTCCTACCTAGCTAGTATGTCTGCCTGTATGCTGTTACAGTACACTTTACTACAATACACTTTACTACAATACACTTCACTACAATACACTTCACTACAATATACTTGTATCACGTTTCATACCTGTGACATCAAGTACACTACATATCTCAGTCCACTCTCCACCTCACTTCTGTGTGGGTCACACCAGCTTGATACATCGTGTCAGGTTTCACTTAGTTTTATGAATTTACTTTTTTTATCATCTGTGTTTTATACATTTTATAATCTGTGTTTTTATAAACAGGTGAAACTCATTGAAGTGCGAATGTCTCCATGATTTGGGTGTATCTCGGTTTCCCTCATGTTCTCTCCTCCTCTACTTTTTCCAACAGGTGTATGAACAGCTCTATGACACGCTTGACATCGTGGGAGGGCCTGAGGTTCGTGCCCAGGCAACTGCCAAGGTAATGACAACAAACATTTAGCGCACATACACACATACAGAAACTGTACACTCCAGGAAAGAATAAACATCACAAATCCCGTAACAGTCATGTTAGCGCAATGGCGTCCAACATCTTGTTCAATCTCACTTTCACCCTTTCCTCCAGGCCACGGTGGCTGCATTTGCGGCCAGCGAGGGACATGCCCACCCGCGGGTGGTGGAGCTGCCCAAGACAGAGGAGGGCCTGGGATTCAACATCATGGGGGGCAAGGAGCAGAACTCCCCAATCTACATCTCCAGGGTCATCCCCGGGGGGGTGGCAGACCGGCAGGGGGGGCTGAAGAGGGGCGACCAACTGCTGTCTGTCAATGGAGTGGTAAGAGTCGGATTGGGAGGAGGGAGTGGTGTGCGTGTGTGTATGCTTACTCATATACACTATATATACAAAAGTATGTGGACAGCCCTTCACACCCGTTGCTGACAGATGTATAAAATCGAGCACACAGCCATGCGATCTCCATAGACAAACATTGGCAGTAGAATGGCCTTACTGAAGAGCTCAGTGACTTTCACCGTGGCACAGTCATAGGATGCCACCTTTCCAACAGGTCATTTGGTGAAATTTCTGCCCTGCTAGAGCTGCCCCGGTCAACTGTAAGTGTTGTTATTGTGAAGTGGAAACGTCTAGGCGCAACAACGACTCAGCCGCAAAGTGGTAGGCCACACAAGCTCACAGAACGGGACTGCCGAGTGCTGAAGCGCGTATCGCGTACAAATAGTCTGTCCTCGGTTGCTACACTCACTACTGAGTTCCAAACTGCCTCTGGAAGCAATGTCAGAACAAGAACTGATCGTCGGGAGCTTCATGAAATGAGTTTCCATGGCCGAGCAGCCGCACACAAGCCAAAGATTACCATGCGCATTGCCAAGTGTCGGCTGGAGTGGTGTAAAGCTTGCCGACATTGGACTCTGGAGGAGTGGAAATGGGTTCTCTGGAGTAATGAATCACGCTTCACCATCTGGCAGTCCGACAGACAAATCTGGGCTTGGCGGATGCCAGGACAACGCTACCTGCCCCAATGCATAGTGCCAACCGTAAAGTTTGGTGGAGGAGGAATAATAGACTGGGGCTGTTTTTCAAGGTTTAGGCCCCTTAATTCCAGTGAAGGGAAATCTTAACACTACAGCATACAATGACATTCTAGATGATTCTGTGCTTCCAAATTTGTGGCAACAGTTTGGGGAAGGCCCTTTCCTGTTTCAGCATGACAATGGCCCCGTGCACAAAGTGAGGTCCATTAAGAAATGGTTTGTCGAGATCTGTGTGGAAGAACTTGACTGTTCTGCACGGAGCCCTGACTTCAACCCCATCGAACACCTTTGGGATGAATTGGTACGCCGACTGAGAGCCAGGCCTAATCGCCCAACATCAGTGCCCGACCTCACTAATGCTCTTGTGGCTGAATGTCCCACAGCAATGTTCCAACATCTAGTGGAAATCCTTCCCAGAAGAGTGGAGGCTGTTATAGCAGCAAAGGGGGGACCAACTCCATATTAATGACCATGATTTTGGAATGAGATGCTCGACGAGCAGGTGTCCACATACTTTTGGTCGTGTGTGTGTGTATGGCATATTATTATTATTATTTATTATTATTGCAGAGTGTGGAGGGGGAGCACCATGAGAAGGCAGTGGAGCTGCTAAAGGCTGCCCAGAGCTCAGTGAAACTAGTGGTCAGGTACACGCCCAAAGTGCTAGAAGAGATGGAGGCCCGCTTTGAGAAGATGAGGAGCGCCAGAAGACGCCAGCAGCACACAAGCTACTCGTGAGGGAACACACAAACACACAAACACACACACACACACACAAACAAGCACGTGAGCACGCTCACTCTCTCACACACAAACAGAAACATACTTTTAATAGCAAAGTATGTTTTTCGTGTAATTCTTTCTCTGTCTCTCTCGCTCTCTCTTTCTATCATTTTCCCTAACACAGGTCTCTGGAGTCCCGAGGCTAGCCACTCCCACCCTCAGTCAAGCCTGTTGGACCCGCCACCTTAGTTCTGCTCCAATAGGAAGCCAGATGATGGAGAAGAAGGAAGAAACCAAAGTAGCCAACTTAGATCTGTTATTTATATATGTTTGTGAAATGTTCCAAATGATTATCCCCCTCCTCTCCCTAACCCTAGCTCATTCTCTATCCTGTATGTGATTTTCTCTCCCAGTGTGAAACCTGCATCCCAGCGTATGGCAACCATGTGTTTAGCGTAAGAACAGAGGAGAGTAAGCATGGTGGATGTAGTTTAAATGCATAGGTCTATATACTTTTCTACTCTATAGTGAGATGATGTATGTATGTATGTATGTATGTATGTATGTATGTATGTATGTATGTATGTATGTATGTATGTATGTATGTATGTATGTATGTATGTATGTATGTATGTATGTATGTATGTATGTATGTATGTATGTATGTATGGCACTCGGAAAGCAGAGTGCAATGTTCCTAGCGCTGTACCACGACAGCAGAAGCTATCTAAGTACAGTTTAGGTAGGGTTAGCATTCCAAGGCTTTCATATTGACTATTTGTTAATTTATGTACTTATTTATTCATGAAATAAAGCCAGTGAAGGTTTGAACAGTCATTGTTTGAGTTCATATTTGTGTTGTAGAACAGTTTTAACTCAATGAATGAATATGATTTGAAAACAAATTGAAATTGTAGTACTCAAAGATTAGAAATTAGTTCTGGGGGTGGCAGAACTCTTGTTAGAAAGGGCTAGCTGTGGACGTTTCATAGTCAGATTTGCTTCAGATCTTGACACTGCAGTCTGCACAGAGTACTTATAGCCACAATCAACTCTATTTCTTGCAGTTCAATAGTCATTTCAATAATTGACTTGGGCAGGAGCTCACTGGAGCTGAGTACCGGCACCTCAAATTTTCTACTATAATCACTGATGTTAATTTTTTAGAGATAATTTGTGTTTACCTAAATCTTTGGCTGCGTTTACACAGGCAACCCAATTCTGATCTTCCCCTAATTGGTCTTTTGACCAATCAGATCAGCTCCTTTGCCAATAAATGGGAAAAAATATCAAATTGGGCTGCCTGTGTAAATGCTAGCCTTGTACAAACTATCCTGATCTCGCAAACTTACATTCTGTTTCGCTACATGGATACAGTCTGGCCTAGTCTTGCGAACACCAGCCTTTCTACGTCCTTGACTTGAGACAAAGACAGTACAGTTTGAAGATAGGCAGAAACTGCTTCTCCAATAGAAATCCCCAATCACACTTGTAGGTGATGTCATGGCTATGTTGGCTGGCTAAGCTATTGCGTAGAAACACGTCATCGGGTGTGCAGGCCATTAATCAAAGGCACTCCTTCGATATAAAGTTGTTTTTGACTAAAATGAAAACGTGTCAGTTTGACACTTTCACGAGGTTGCAGTAAGACTACTTAAGACATGGCTCGAATCTAGGTTGTGCCTTTAGATTTCGAGAAAATGAACAACTAAGGAATAATTTTTCACTTCTCAAATCCCAAACCCTGGCCTGGTCTGTTTGGTCTGTTTCTCAAGCGTTCCCGGGAAGTATTGCGATGTTGCGCCTCTGGGTTTAGAAACTCTGTGCTTGAGAGTCTGGAACAACTGCTTTGATTTGTCGGCACAAAGCAACTATAATAAAGGGTCTGTGTCCTCAGACTTCAGGTTGGCACCTTATGCTAGTTGGATATCCCTATTTCGAATTGAACGAATCATGATCATGATGTTTTATGTTAGGGCCGCCCCAGCCCTTCCGTTTCCATCCAGCCCTTCCATGGTTTCCACTAGTTACCACAGCCACAAAGTCAAAAATTTATGAAAACAAAAATTTGCTTTTTGGTCTAACCTTTTACTGCAGTGGGCTAAATCAGGGTCACACAGAGTGTTTGTTGGTAGTCTTAAACACATTTACTTTGAAACAAAAGTATTCACCTCACACATGGTTATGGGCTTAAAAATGTTTGAGTTTGCATCTCAATAGTACACTTCATATACAGTACCAGTCAAAAGTTTGGACACACAAACTCATTCAAGGGTTTTTCTTAATTTCTACTATTTTCTACATTGTAGAATAGTAGTGAAGACATCAAAACTATGAAATAACACATATGGAATCATGTAGTAACCAGAAAAGTGTTAAACAAATGAAAATATATTTAAAATTTGAGTTTCTTCAAAGTAGCCACCATTTTGCCTTGATGACAGCTTTGCGCACTCTTGGCATTCTCTCAACCAGCTTCATGAGGTAGTCACCTGGAATTCATTTCAATTAACAGGTGTGCCTTCTTAAATGTTAATTTGTGGAATTTATTTCCTTTTTAATGCGTTTGAGACAATCAGTTGTGTTGTGACAAGGTAGGGGTGGTATACAGAAGATAGTCCTATTTGGTAAAAGACCAAGTCCATATTATGGCAAGAACAGCTCAAATAAGCAAAGACAAACGACAGTCCATCATTACTTTAAGACATGAAGGCCAGTCAGTACGGAACATTTCAAGAACTTTTAAAGTTTCTTCAAGTGCAGTCGCAAAAACCATCAAGCGCTATGATGAAACTGGCTCTCATGAGGACCGGCACAGGAAAGGAAGACCCAGAGTTACCTCTGCTGCAGAGGATAGGTTTGTTAGAGTTACCAGCCTCCGAAATTACAGCCCGAATAAATGCTTCACAGAGTTCAAGTAACAGACACATCTCAACATCAACTGTTCAGAGGAGACTGCGTGAATCAGGTCTTCATGGTCGAATTGCTGCAAAGAAACCACTACTAAAGGACACCAATAATAAGAAGAGACTTGCTTGGGCCAAGAAACACGAGCAATGGACATTACACTGGTGGAAATGTGTCCTTTGGTCTGGAGTCCAAATTGGAGATATTTGGTTCCAACCGCCGTGTCTTTGTGAGATGCAGAGTAGGTGAACGGATGATCTCCGCATGTGTAGTTCCCACCGTGAAGCATGGAGGAGGAGGTGTGATGGTATGGGGGTGCTTTGCTGGTGACACTGTCTGTGATTTGTTTAGAATTCAAGGCACACTTAACCTGCAGCGATACACCATCCCATCTGGTTTGGGCTTAGTGGGACTATCATTTGTTTTTCAACAGGACAATGACCCAACACACCTCCAGGCTGTGTAAGGGCTATTTTACCAAGAAGGAGAGTGATGGAGTGCTGCCTCCACAATCACCCGACCTCTAACCAATTGAGATGGTTTGGGATGAGTTGGACCTCAGAGTGAAGGAAAAGCAGCCAATAAGTGCTCAGAATATGTGGGAACTCCTTCAAGACTGTTGGAAAAGCATTCCAGGTGAAGCTGGTTGATAGAATGCCAAGAGTGGGCAAAGCATCATCAAGGCAAAGGATGGCTACTTTGAAGAATCTCAAATATAAAACATTTTTTAAACACTTTTTTGGTTACTACATGATTCCATATGTGTTATTTCAGGTAGAAAATAGTAAAAATAAAGAAAAACCCTTGAATGAATAGGTGTGTCCAAACTTTTGACTGGTACTGTACATCACAGAAGACTGAAATATAACAAAACAATTTGACATAGAAAAACTGGATTTTCGGCAGTTAAAAAAATAATAATGTTAATTAATTATTAATTATTGAAAATGTTAATAACATTCCACCCATGAGGCCACTAGGTAATTTGAATCAGGAAAGGGGTAACTTTAAGGTTAGGGTTAGGAACAAGGTTAGCATTGTGGTTAAGGTTAGGGTTAAGGTTTAAAATCACATTATAAACCCCTAGAGTCGATTGACTCACCAGTGCGTCAATCTAAGTTACATAATAAATAAATCAACATCAACGTCAGTTTAAGCTAGAGATATCTCTTCTCAATCCAAAGCATCTGCCAGTGTAGCACTTCCGCATCTGCGGTGAAAGGTGGCAGAGCTAGAGCGGTGTTTGTGAGACCATGAAACATCCAGAAAAATCTTCTCACGAAAACGTCTGATCAAAAAGGCCAAAATTAATATTGTATCAAATGCATTTTATCAGCTGACCGGTACCTGACCAGGCACCGGTGACCCAGGCACGGGTTGTGCCGGACTGACGACGCGCACCCCTGGCTTGGTGCGTGGAGCAGGAACGGGCCGGACCGGGCTGACGACGCGCACCCCTGGCTTGTGCGTGGAGCAGGAACGGGCCGGACCGGGCTGACGACGCGCACCCCTGGCTTGGTGCGTGGAGCAGCAACGGGCCGGACCGGGCTGACGACGCGCACCCTGGCTTGGTGCGGGGAGCAGGAACGGGCCGTACCGGGCTGACGACGCGCACCCCTGGCTTGGTGCGTGGAGCAGGAACGGGCCGGACCGGGCTGACGACGCGCACCCCTGGCTTGGTGCGTGGAGCAGGAACGGGCCGTACCGGGCTGGCGACGCGCACCGTAGGCTTGGTGCGAGTGGCAGGAACAGGCCGGGCCGGGCTGGCGACGCGCACCGTAGGCTTGGTGCGGGGAGCAGGAACAGGCCGGGCCGGGCCGGGCTGGCGACGCGCACCATTGGCTTGGTGCGGGGAGCAGGAACAGGCCGGGCCGGGCTGGCGACGCGCACCGTAGGCTTGGTGCGGGGAGCAGGAACAGGCCGGGCCGGGCTGGCGACGCGCACCGTAGGCTTGGTGCGGGGAGCAGGAACAGGCCGGGCCGGGCTGGCGACGCGCACCATTGGCTTGGTGCGGGGAGCAGGAACAGGCCGGGCCGGGCTGGGAACACGCACTACTAACTTAGTGCGGGGAGCAGGAACGGGCGGGCCGGACTGGGAACACGCACTACTAACTTAGTGCGGGGAGCAGGAACGGGTCGGGCCGGACTGGGAACACGCACTACTAACTTAGTGCGGGGAGCAGGAACGGGTCGGGCCGGACTGGGAACACGCACTACTAACTTAGTGCGGGGAGCAGAACGGGCCGGACCGGACTGGTGACACACACCACTTGCTTGGTGTGAGGAGCGGGACTGGGTTCTTCATAACCCTCCACTCCCTCAGCTGCCTACACAGTTCCTCTCGCCGTGCCTCTACTCTCTCCTTCTCCCTTATCGCCTCCAGTAGCTCCTCCCTCTGAACCACTAACTCCTGCTCCCTCTGGACCAATAGCCCCCTTAACCTGGTGGTCTCCTCTCCTATTCTCCCAATACGCCCTGTAGCTGCCTCCTGCTGCCCCGTCGCCCATGCCGTGTGCCCCCACTAAATTTTTTTGGGGTTGCCTCTCGTCCTTCCGACGACGACACTGTTGACGCCGTTGCTCCTCTCTCCGGCGTGCCTCCACCGTCTCTTCCCACGGACGCCGATCCATCCCGGCCTGTATCTCCTTCCAAGTCCAGGACCCTTTCCCGTCCAATATCTCCTCCCATGTCCAGGCTGCCTG